AATGTGGGATTTTAAAAATAATAATAACAGGGCCCCTTAGAACTTACACCTATATATTAGTTTTGAAGGCAGCATTCAATATCATTGTGATATAAAAATAATTACTAAGGGAAAATAACAGTGCCACAGGTGTTCACAACTCCTTAAACATTTGCCTACAGCACCAAAACATGCTGTGTCTACTATAGCCAGCTGTGTAATCTCTGAAATTATTTGTGGGGGAGGGCATTCCACATAAATAGTTCTGCAGTTTTCCGGCATGACTTGGCTGATAAATTAATTAACAATGGCTCTGGACATGTGGTTTGTATGCTATCTTGCACAATGTACCATGTCAGGATTTACCATTAGGACAGGACTAGGCAACTTTGGATAGTTTTGGGAAAGACTTTGTACCTTGAACACTTTGGAGGTTGCATAATCTGCCAGAAAGGACCCCCAAAATAACAAGAAATCTGAAAATGGTACATTCCTGGTTTTTTTTTCTTTTTTAAAAATAATCAAGGTAGGCCTTCTCTCCTCTTCTTGCTGCTGAATTATTTGAGTGCACTTTGGATTTGATTTAAAGCAACTGAAGCAAGCTAAGGACAAAGGAAAATAAGAGGAGGAGGAGAGATAAACTAGAACATTTTAAAAGCAGCTGAAAAACTGGGATGATGCAGGATTAATCAGCACTGTCAAATCAGGACAGTTGTTGCACATCTCAGGGCAACCCTGCGGTTAATTTAGAAGTTCAGAACATGTAATTCAGCTTTTTTTGCCAGAAAATGGGGAAGTTCTGGGAGGCCCAACTACGTGAAAACCCAAAGATGCACCTTATCCACCTCCTTCTTAGGAGTAAGTAGTTCAATGAACTGCTGCTGTGTTCTGTTTTAGATAAATGCAAGAGTACTGAGAACACTCATACCTTGAATGAAGCATGATCATGGCCAACAATTCTAAAAAAGGCTGTGCTCTCAACAGCTCACTGATTTACTGAAAAGGGATCTGAAAATACGGAAATGTGGGGAAGCATAAAGACCTTTCTGGACTTCCTTGAGCAGTTGCTAAATGGAGAGTTAACACTTATGCAATAAATCTGCTTTAACAGGGACCACAAACAGAATTCAGCCATTGTCAAATTAATTTATGATTTGTTAGAATTCATAGAGCTTCACCCATGCTCAACAATATATATTGAGCACTTCTTTCTCCAAAGTTGGCAACAAGCACATTGCTTTCTTTGGTATCTGGCTCTGCTAGCACTTTATGTTGCATAAGACCAACATAATTATATCATATATTGAAACAACAATCCTGAGCCAATGTATTTATATATTCATTTAAAGGTGAGCCAAGGAAGAGCAAGGTATGTCATAACAGACCATTAAAAAGCATCTCAAAAAGAAAACTTCCTTCCTTTCTCTTTTATTGTAGAACTTTAAAGACTGCAGTGACATATACCTTACTCTATTATTATGAAGCACTTGCCTAGGTGCCTTTATTTGGCACCAGTCTAGAATTCCCTATTCATAATCTGACTTTTGATTGGTACGTATCCAGCTCATCTCATTCATAATAGACACTGCAGACTGAGAAGGAGACAAACAGAGGAAGCAGTAATTAAGGGAATTTTAGAAGAGCTGTTTCAAATGACAGCAATATTTCACAAGCCTCATAGCCTCAGAAACTCTTGTGACAGTTTAGTTTGGGAGCATGTATCAAATGCCTCCTGGATCCATTTTTATTTCTTAAGACTGAGTGGTCTGAGCTGAGGAATGCTTGCACAGTTTATTTAAGGCTTTGTGCCTCAAATAGAATCCACTTAGTATATGCTTAATTTGTGTTAATGTCTTTTCTTAAAGATCTATAGTAAACGATGTAGGCCATGTTATGTTATATTATATTTATAATATAATATAATATATTATAATTATATATTATAATTATTTTTCTAATATTTTTTTTAAAAAACACACTTTTAAAAAGCTTTCTGATACTAGGACAGGACCTATATTTGAAGTTTACAAGTATTGGTAAGTTAAAACTAACCTGCAATGGAATTCTCATTTGCATGACTCCCCAAGTCACGCAAATGAGAGCACAAGCTATGTTCTTCATCTTGAAATTCTGAACACATGTCATTGGTTTCAAGAAAAATCATTTTTGAAGTGTAGTAATTATAACTTTGTCAGATAAAGTAAACCAAAGCTGTGATTAGAAGACTAATGAATTCACCATTAAAACTGGCAAGTTTTAGTAGCCTGACGAAACAAGCTTTCACTTTAAAACAGCCTCACATACTATAAATATCATGTGAAGTTCTTCCTGGTGTAGAAATGAAGTAATGGAGGATACTCCCACCAATTAAACCACTGTGGGTCAGGATATTGTTCAAGACATGGACCAGGAAAAAGGTGATAGCTCTAATAACGAACTCATGATTGTTGGCATCATAGCAGTTGTCCAATTTATCCTACTTATATTATACTCTGAACACAATCCTCATTCACTGGACTTTCCAGCTCTGGTCCACAGGGTATTCAAAAGGCACTTGAAGAACTCACAGCACTTTACATTTCATCTAAACTCATAAAAATCCATTAAATAGTTCACCACAATGTTGATTTTTTTTTTTAAAAAAAAAGGGACGAATGGCTGGCACAGGTGATTTAAAAAGCACAGGCAAGCTGCCAAAGTCCTTGGAAATCCCTAGTGACCAAGACATTCCAAGACGGGATGTACATACTCCATAAATTCTGTACCAAGCAGACTGGAGCCTTCAGCTCCATGTCTGCCTGGATGTCTTCCAAGGCAGACAGGAGAAAGCAAAAAGCATGTGGTTACCCAGAAACAGTGGGCAAGCATTTTGGCAGTTGCCAGGCAACCTCTTCTAAATGCTTTCTCCTACTGTGACCTCTCCAACTCTAGGCTGAAGCCTCCATGTCAGCAACAAGGACAGAATCAATGGCTATGGACAAAATAGATCACTCTCCTGTTGTCCTTTTCTTGCCACAGCTTCATTATCTTCACTCCACTATTACCTTCTTGCCTTTTTGCTGCTCACTCTTCCTTATTATGCCCAATACCACTTCCTTACCATAACCTTTTTATATCTTTCTATTGTTTTGATACATTTTGTTTCCTTTGCCCTCCTACCACAATAAGCCCTCTTGAAATATCTGATTCCATAATAATAAAATGCCATTTCTCGTGTCCTGGTGCTGAATGATTTTGAAAAGTGTCTTCTTAGCATTAAGCTTCACTGTGTTCAATGGGCTATGCTCCCACATAAGTGTGTATAGCATTTCAGCCTGAATTGTAAAAGATTGTCTGTTCATAAAAGAGAATATTGTCAGATTTTTCTCAGCCTGTGATAACTCAAGTCAACAAGTACACCTCCTTGAAACAAATTGATGTTTGGAAATGCCAGGTAAGACTTCACACTTCCACACATCACCATTTTTGCAGGTGAGGAGGAACTTCCTAGTGCAGCTGCAATCACAATGGTTCAAGTGTCTCTTGTATATCCATACAAGAAAGATTTCCAGAGCAACACAAATTCTATGCTCTATGAGAAGCATAACAGGCAAAAAAAAAAAAGCATTGAAATGCAATGGAGGAAAAAATTTCAACTGATTTCTAGCAATAATACATTCATTTTTTCTTTTTCTATTTTAAAATACACAGCACGAATCACAGTTTGAGCATGTAAAAATAAACTAACAGCCTTTCACAGTTTCTATGAGACCCTGTTCCCTCTAATTCATGTTTTGACTCCTCATTTGAATCTATCTGTGATTCAATATGCATTATTTAAAAGTCTATAAAGCAAGAAGAGATGATCAACAGGTGCCGTGGAAGTATAGATATCATAATGGGCAATCTATCAACTAATCTTTTCTTCCCCCAATCAGAAAATTACAGTTGTTATCTATATGAAGATTTGAATAAGACTATAAAGAGTTCAAATATTTCAGATGAAAGGAAGACACTCACATTTTAAAATCAATGGGGTTGATATGGCACATACAACCTCGTTACTGTATAACTTGCAAGACAATACCATATCCATTGAGGACCAGACCATACCATACCATACCAGACCATACCATACATTTATTCATCAACTTCTGTGATTTTTACAAACCATGGAAACAAGCTTATCACAGAATCCAGGAAAGCTTTCAAATGTGGAGATAGCCTCAAAAATTCTGTAGCTACATCTTTAAGACACCTGTTCTCTAGTCACTTTTAGTGAGTCATCACATCTAACTTTCACAACAAATATGTTTCAGATAATAGATATGAAGTACAAATCGGGAGCATTAGATGTGCTTGAGAATTATTTTACGAAACAACACTCAGGGATTGGAAATGCATGTTAGCAAAAAGTCTTTCATTCTGTGAAACTTCTAGAGGTACCATTACATGAAAGCATTGAAATGTATCTGTGTGACATGAAATACTTTCTCCCTTAAAATTCTGTACTACTGTTGATTGGTAAATTCCATTGAAAATGGATTCAAAAGAGCCCCTGGCTATAAGGGGATCTGATCTTGTTCAAGAAAAGGAAACTATATACAAAACCTCATTTAATTTCAATGGCTTTTTAACAATGGACCACTATAAAGTCTCCTTTTATTCAATAGGTTTTACTCCCCAATACGTAAATGAGCAACTGTAACCTATTTGAAAATAGACCTATAAGAGTTACTTCCAAATTTATATACTTTTAAGCTTTAGGAAAATTAAATTTTTGCAAGCATCCCCCAAACTTGACATAACAGGGAAAGGAAAATGCAGCAAGGAAAATTCAAGCTACTTCTTTCCCCTGCTTACAAACTAGCTCTATTATATATAAATCACAAAACAGCAGTAGAACTCACTGAAAATACTAATTGCTGCAGAGGTTCTTTTCAGTGAGCAAGAAAACGAAGATAACAGACTCAGAGCATAACAACAAATTCTTAATTTTGTCATGCTTTTATATAGGAAGCAGAGCGTATCAAGTCTCTTACCTGAGCTGATCATGCTGTGCATTCTTTGCTGAGCCAAGAGCTGGTCACGTCCTGAAACTCCATCTGAGAAAAAACACGATTCGCTCTCGTAAATTGTCTGCATCATATTCCAATCAGTCTGCACTTCAGCTACATGAAGGATTCAACCATTCAGAGACGTTGTAACGACCCCATCTGGTCCTGTTTCCTCCTCCTCAGGAGGTGGTTTTTGATAATAATTAGTAATTATGACATTAGCTATTAAAATGGATATAACTACATATAAGAAAGATTTCTATACAGAAAAAAAATAATCACTGACTACAACGGCAACCCACTCATAAGACAATTCCCCTTGGGTATAGATAAAGCATAAGGATATATAATGTGTCTATATCTGTGCAATAAAAGGTTTCATTATATACCTTTCTTGTTGTGTTAGCTGTGTTCTGGAACCAAAGAGCAGGTGGAGGAAGGCTATATTTCCTTCCCCCCAGGTTATTCTTGGGAGTCCAGCAAGAGAAATAAAACCACTCAAAAACAAAAACAAGCAAGCACAGTTTCTAGGGACTTGACTCCCCAGAGGGTTAAGTTTCAATTGCTCCCAACTCTGATATGTGTATCTGTCTCCGGCTCCTCTTGTTCCTCCTCCTCTTCCTCCCTCCCTCTCTTTTTCTCTCTCTCTCTGCAAAGTTGGCTGAAGCTAGCGAGATCTCATTTACATACAGATCAACAACAGCATGGCCCACAGGCAACAGAAATAGAACAATGGCTAGCCTGAGCCAAAAATAGGTCAAGCATGGCCGGATGATTGGAGCCTGCATGAATGCATTTAAAAATACCTCAGCTAACCCAGCTGGCCAGTCTCTGTCTTTCAAAGCGGCAGGTCTCCAGTGTGATCCCTCCGAAGAAGCAATTACCTTCTCCAAGTGCCAAACCTGTGCCTGCCTCCCTGTGTGTACTATTTGTGCATGTGTGTGTTTACATTACGCTCTCTCTGTGTTTATGCATGTGATGGAGATGGAGCAGGATTTTAATGGTGTTTGACGTACTTTCTCACTCCCTTCTACTAGACTGTGGCTCATCTTTGACAAGACAGCAAAAGGGGAACAGATCTATGCTGGTTCTAAAATAATACTGTGGAAGCTTCTACTCATAATGTGGTTTCGGCTTCACCCACGCGCAGCAAACCTGGATGTTCTATTTTTGTTGCCTGTTTCTCTGGCTACACTCTGCAGAAAGAGTTGGCTGGAGCACTCCTATCTCTCTGCTGTCGTTCAGCTCTAAGATGTAAAGGCAACAGGAGAGGGACGATAGCTGAAAACCATCACATCCCTGGGGAGAGAAAACTCATCCAGCGAGGAATTGCACTTTGATTTTGAAGTGGATTGTTTCTCCTTAATGTCAGTTTTCTATTGCAGCACAGCGTGTTAAATGCTGCAAGCGACAATGCCCTCCATCTAAGTGAGGAGAAGCACTGAACAATTTATACTGCAGAGGGCTCTAAATATAAAAGGAAGTGTTGACTTAAAATAGCTGCTTCCAGACTTGCATAGCAATATTTAAAGATATAGGCACATACGTGCCTTGTCCTGCAATGTTATTTTTAAGGGGGATTCATTGTTTATGATATTGGTAGATGCATAAAAACTACATTGGGATCCAAGATACATGCATAAATGCAGCAATGCTACAAAACCAAGCATTTTGTTAAAGTAAAGGCAGAGGCAAATATGGCTAAAACAAAATCCAGTTTTTCATTTATTCTACATTTTCAAGTTAGTTTCTAGCTTGACATTACCTTTCTCTTTCATTTTCGTAGTCCTTAAATGCAACTTCTAAGCTACCCACAAATATCAGCGGTTCTCAACCTGTGGGTCCTCAGGAGTTTTGGCCTACAACTCCCAGAAATCTCAGCCAGTTTACCAACTGTTAAGATTTCTGGGAGATGAAGGCCAAAATATCTGGGGACCTACAGGTTGAAAACCACTGACAAAGACTTCTGCATTAGAGCAGCCATGCCCTCTTATACTTGTGTGGAAGAGGACATGCCAGCAGGTCACAAAACTTATACCTGTTGAAATTCACTCTGTAACACAGCTACTGCAAATACAACAACTCTGTCTTCTTTTTTACATAGCCATCCTTTCTTGCAGGAACTACTCATACTATACAATATAGATCTCATACAAAAGCAGAAGTCTGTTGGTCCCAGGACCACTCAGCTAAGTGTAGTACAAAAATCTTCATCTTGCGTATTTCCTTACACTGGAAATTTGAGCGCTATTAACACAATAGTAATCAGTGGATAAACCTTTGGAATTAAATTGAGGCATTGTGCAACATACTGCTGGAACCTCTATAACATTGGTTTTCAACGTGTGGGTCCCCAGGTGTTTTAGCTTTCAACTCCCAGAAATCCCAGCCAGTTTACCAGCTGTTAGGAGTTCTGGCAGTTGAAGGCCAAAACAGCTGAGGACCCACCACAGATTGAGAACCACTGCTCTACAGCAGAGATGGAATAACTCATTCAATATCGCAATATCCCTAAAGTATACAAAGCCCTACATGATTCTGGTCCAGCCTGTCTTCGTGACTGCATCCCCCCCCGCCCATGAACTGGTGAAGTCTATAAGATCTGGCAGGGAGGCCCTCCTCTTGGTCCCACCTCCATCTCAAGCGTGGTTGGTAGTGACGAGAGAGGGGGCCTTCTCAGTGGTGCCCCCCAGCTCTGGAATGCCCTCCCCAGGAAACTCAGACAAGCCCCCACATGACAGCACTTTTGGAAAGAGCTTAAAAATTTGGCTCTTTCAGCAGGCTGTTGATAATGTTTAAGATAGCAGCCAGACTACTATCTTAGCCAAGGAAAGCTAAATTGATTGTATGGATTTTTATTCAATGGCTATTTTTTATTGATCTTACTGCTCTTGTTAATTTTATATGTCTGATTTTAAATTTGTTATTGATTTTAATATTTATATATTATATTTTATATGCTGTATGGCACCACTGTGTGCTATTTGTAAGCTGCCCTGAGTCCCTATGAGATGGCGGCGGGGTATAAATAAAGATGATAATGATGATGACGACGTTGATGATGATGATTAGAGTATATCCACAGAAAGGTTGCATAGTCATGTCTATCTGTATATGCACATATCCCACAATTTCAAACTGAACCACTTTGCAGGAATGTAGGTGAGAAACTGAGCATGCTGGCTGGTCAACTGAAGCTCCTTTATGATATCAGCAGCAAATACTTCAATCTCTTCTTGTACCTATAATTTTCATTCTGTCTTTCCCTGACCTAACCTGATAAACTTGTCTTTTTAGAAATAAAACAATACAATGTTTTCAAAATAATTGGAATTGTTTCACAGAATATATAGGTAGAACATTTACAGACTTGTCCATAATAGCATTGAGTGCTTAAAAATACATTGTCAAAAAGAAGAGCAAGATGATGATAAATGTTGTACAATTAGGTCACCTTTGAATACTTTATGTAATACACACACACATACACATATTGCTTGTTAGGACAAATTATTGTAAGACTATCTCAGAGTAACGTTGGGAAGTTTTTTTCAAATAAGACACATGTTTTACTACTATTAGAAAGTGTAAATTACTACTTTTAATTGGTGGCTTTATATATCAAACGTTCTGTTATGTGTGTACTCTGGAAATAATAATAGTAATATTCATGCTGAAAAAACAACTTGATAAACTGGATTGTAGGTTTTTCAGGATGTATGGCCATGTTCTAGAAGCATTCTCTCCTGACGTTTTGCCTGCATCTGTGGCAGGCATTCTCAGAGGTTGTGAGGTTGATAAACAACTGTGCATATAAGTGTTGCAGCCAAACAAACCTTCTTTTTTGTTGTGCAGTGGGGTAAGGCAGTTGAAGAGCCTGCCCATTATGGAGCAAAACTGGGGCACATATATACTAGTCAAGGAGAAAAAGCAGGATATAAGAACATGAAAAGATTTTGTAGTACCTATGAGGTTATCTGAGAGAAATAAATGTATAGCATAAGCTATTACAGATTGCCACCCACATCAAACAGACTGATTTGCCAGCTGTGAACTGCTTCACTTCCCTTTGTGGCATGGAGCTCTTCACATGACATACAGGCACTTCTGGCTGGGCTCCATACCGAAAAGGGAGCTTTCCCGTGTTGCCTTTCCTTCAATGGGGGGAAGCCACGTGGCAACACTACCGTTCTATGGGATGAGGAGCACGGTAAGTTGGGCTATGAAGGACATGGGGTGGTGGCTTCTCTAAACCCCCTTCCAGGAGTTTATGGATTTGCCCCAATATGGGGCAAATCCATGGGCCTTTGTGATAAGATAGTTAGTTTTTGAATACTTTGTTTTGTGTGTCTTCTGATCATTTCTGGCATATGGTGATCACAAGATTAATCTTTCAAAGGGTTTTCCTGACAAAATATGTTCAAAGTTGGTTTGTTTGCCTTCTTCTGAGGCTGAATGTGACTTGTCCAGAAGTGAACTGATCTCCAGAGTAGCAGTACAACATTCAAACAATATACTGGCTCTTGTCTTTGAATACTATTATTAGGGAAATAAGGGGTTAAGCATCATTTGATGATTCAGCAGAAAAGAAAGAGATCTAGGGCTTAAAGGGCTAAAGGAAATTGTAGTTACATGAATGCAAGGAGTAGTACAGGATCAACACAGCATGTGAAGCCGAAGGATATGGTCCCTTGTATTGTCGAAGGCTTTCATGGCCGGAATCACTGGGTTGTTGTAGGTTTTTTCGGGCTGTATGGCCATGGTCTAGAGGCATTCTCTCCTGATATTTCGCCTGCATCTATGGCAAGCATCCTCAGAGGTAGTGAGGTCTGTTGGATGCTTGCCATAGATGCAGGTGAAACGTCAGGAGAGAATGCTTCTAGACCATGGCCATACAGCCCGAAAAAACCTACAACAACCCAGATATGATCCCTACTTACATGAGATAGATTAAGATGGATAGTTTCATTTAACAGTATGCAATAATGATGCTGGATGGGTCATTGTGAGCATTATAGTGAATAAACCTTTTCAAACCCTGACCTTAA